CAGGACAGTGATGGTCAGGCTCGTCCACAGATAAACTTCAAGCTATTGGTGATGCAATTTAAAAATGTGGGAAGTTCACTACAAGCTCAACTAAAGACTGGCTTGAGACAGATGTGGGGAAATGGATCCGTCATCCACCACCCCTTAAAACTTGCTTAGAATCTAGCACTGTGTATTTTATGGATTTAAAATAACAAATAACAATCCAGCATTTCATATCAGTGAGCTTTGTAATTTTAGATATAAGACCACTGGACAGACTTTATCTGTGCTACAGGAGCATTGATCCTTAGATGCTAGATTAACCAGCTTCTAATGATATTTAGACACACTTGTGAGTGTTTGGCAATAACTAGTTCAGGTGTTTTTAGTATAGATATGTGAGTGCAAACCCGCTCTCAAATGCTATTAATTGCACATAAAGTTGCTCTTATATAGAATAGTTTGTTTTACAGTGGTTTTTGAATATAATTTTGGCAAATATTATAAATACTGTATATGTTTGAAATCTTCCAATTAATATTTTTGATTAATGGTACTAAACTTTTATCCTTGATTTAGTCTTTATATTTTATGGAGAGATATTTATATGCTGTGTTTTTTCCACTAATTCACATTGTTGCAGTCTGCTGTGATTGTATGATTACTGTGCTTCCACTGTGGCACTGTTTGATATGGATTAACAGCAGATGTATTTATTCATTCATTTATAGTATGCAAATGTTCTTGAAGACGGATGCGGTTGCTACTGTTCATCCCCAGTGCCTTTCTGGGAAAATTGACCATTTTTATAATTATATTCTAAATCTTACTTTAGTTTCCTAAAACAGTTTATTTTTAATGGGTTCTGTAAAATTTCAGAGGTACTGCACTGAAGCTGTTTTTCTCAGCAGAAGATGAGGCTCAACCGTGTACCAGTAACCGATCATTACAATTTTTCAAATGAAATTGCATTCTGGCTTTTATTTCACTGGGATCTGGTTTATGAAAACAATGCATCTTTTAACAAGAGTTGGTAGATTTGTTGTTGCTAGACGGTATAATTCGACCTCCAGTAGTTACAGATAACAATAATACACACAAAAGTCTTTTGCACACAGTTTGTACAGTGAGAGGAGATGGCTAACGGTTCATTACTGCCAAGTGAAGAAAGCTGCTTGTTCCCATCTCAGTCCACCTACTGAATACCACCAAAGGGCAATGTGTCAAATTTGTGCCAGGGCATAATTAGGTTGCTCTGTTAAACTTTGTGTGAACAGTTGGACATGCTTGTTAACTTGTGAGAAATTTGCTTTGAAAAAATCCTTCAACTGTCTGAAAGATGCAGTGTTTTGCCTACTTGAATGGATATACTATAGCAATATTTAACCTTTCATGTACAGTGCACTTGCCACAGGGTTTAACATTGGTGCAGATGGTTAATGTTCAGATAACTTGACTGATATGAATACCATGTGAAATAAAAGGGCAATGTCACTGAGAAGATAATGTATCACCACATCCTCTTTTTAGACTTCACATCAACTAAGTCCTTTGCAGGCGGCCACTGTGCAGTGTGACAGGCTCCCTGTCCTCATAGTTATCAGTCCATGCTTCAGGCAAATTCAAATAATTGGAAGTCCATGTTGCAACTGAAATCTCTTTAGTACACATGGCTCCAGCTCCCCCTACTGTAGAGAACATGGCTTTGTACATTTAATGCATTTAAACAAACGCCATTTTTAGTGCAATGAACATTAAATTTTGTGTAAACTGGGCACGAGCTGTTCACTGATTATTTTTGACTGTCTTACTGCCAGAAAAGCAAATAAACAGTTTCTATCAAGATGGCATAAGGAGGATCATATTTGTGCATAATAGTTAGATATAGATTAGGCAAAATTATACTAAAAGATAGTTTGCCGATTTATTTCTTTTGTGTACATGCCAAAAATTTGTGCAAAAAAAAACAAAAAAAAAAAACAGGAAATTGAATACACTGACTGACGTCATTGGTGAGCGCCTCTACTGGCCTTCGAAATGGGCTCGACTCCTTGGTCTTGATTTTTTTTTTCCCCCAATTGTCCCTCCGAATATCAACTTTTTATAAAGAAAAGCCTGTTCGCGATGACATTTGGAGGTATGTTTATAGAACGAGACAAATCAGGGACATATATGATATACAACTTGCGTATTGCCATGTTAGTTTTAAGCAGTGGTGGAGTACGTTCATGTAGCTAGTTATAGCTATGTTAGCCTTTTAGCTAACTAGCCTGAATAGTGATAAATAAGAGTGATAACGAAGTGGCCTCATATAATATTAGCTTTCATTTTAACTCGCCGTCTAGTTTTACTGTTAGCGTACGAAGTGTCACGCTATCACTTTCCCGTGTTTACTATAGAAGGGTTATAGCAGTAGCTAGCTAACTTGAGCCAAGTCAGCGATTAGCTAACGGTAAACATAGCTTTACTGAAGTGAAGTACAGCGGTAACCGGAGAAAAACTCCGCCTTGTGGCTATATGGATCAGCTTCTGGTTTATACTGTCGAGTGTTGTTTGAGAGTTTGTTTGAGGAAGCAAGTTTACTGGGTTTCCTGGATAACTGCTGAGTGAAGCCAGAGTCATGGGCTGAGGCAAAAGTAAAAAAAAATAAATAATAAAAAGCTCTTCCAAGTCGGTCTCGTGATAAAAGAGTAAACTGAGATCTTCAGTTCGCTTTAGGTTGGCAAAAGATTAATCCACGTGTGTAGTTTACCTTTGTTGAATCTTTTGGGGTTTTACACCACTACTACGCCTCTCTACATTAAAGTCTAAGCCAACACCACTTAGAGGATCAGCCGCAGCTGTGCGCTTGTCATTATTATGTTACAACAGAATATATATAATAGCAGAAAAACCGATAAGCAGTGCTTAGCGACTATTTTGATGATTGATTGACCATTTCTGCACCTTTTAAATCATAAATGGAAAACACTGGCTGGTTTTGTCTTCTCAATTATGAAAATTTGCTGCTTTTCTTTGTCATGTGATATGAAATATCTTTGAGTTTTCAACATACATCGCTGTGGGATATCTGACTAGGTGTTTTTCACTGCTTGTTGACATTTAATAGAATATGAATAATGTAGGAAATGATCAGCAGATTAATCAGTAACAGTATTAGCTGTTAGTTGCATGTGGTGTATTGGTAAAAGAAATTAAACAACCAAAAGCTTATACCTAGTTTAGAAAAAGCAGTAATAAATCACATATTGTCATTATTTATTGCTTAAGGGTTTTCAGTTATACAGTTTCATAAACAGCTGTGATGAAATGTTGTATATACTAAAATGCATGTAGTCAAACCTTTTAACAGTCAGCAGCATAATGTTGGGTGCCATCATTCAAATGTGAAACAGCTATAAATTGGCAAACTAATAGAAAGCAGAAAAGTTCAGGCATGTGCACAGCCCACCACATTTGAGTCAGTCTAATGGTTTATTTTTATTTTTACTGCTACAAATAAACTCTGTCAAAGGGATCAGTGTACCTTTAATGCTTTCCATCTGTGGTTTGTGTAATCTGTCACCCACCATAAATCTCTCACATCATTTTATTTTCATTTCACATGGAATGTATGTTAACAATTTTAGCACTAATGTAATGTTCCTTTTATTTTTTCTTTTAGGTGAATTGGCAGACAAGGTCAGCCAGGTGATTTCAGAACTGGTTCCTGAGCGGGCTGACTGGCTCGCAAGTTTCAGTTTCTGTGCAGTACAGTAAAGCTACTTGCTTGCTCAGAGGATAGCAATGAAACCAGCTCAGGAGCGCAACCAGGAGTGCCTGCCTCCTAAGAAGAGGGACCTCCCAATTAGTAACAGCAGTGAAACTGGAGGTACAGGGGGGTGTGGGGCTTCAGGAGGAGGTGGTGGCAGTGGAGGTGGCAGTGTTGCTGGTGGTGGTATTGGAGAAGATGAAGTGGTTTCCATCCAGAACTCTGCAGCTAACAATGACACTCAGGGAGGGACCCCATCTGGAGAGTGGCTGCGAGCTCAGCCAGGGCTTCATTATGCAGTGGATAGTTCTGATAGCATACCAGCAGCGCCCCTTGACCAGTACAGTATGTTCTACAAAGTGGCTCTTCCATCTGTTACCTACTCATCTACTAGTCTTCACCCAGTGTTAAGCCACATTTCTCCAGCTTACACTGTACACTCTCCTCTTCTGCAGCATCCAGGCCTTTCCTATCCTCCTCTTGGTTATGCCCAGATTCCTCATTCCTCTTTCCAGTTTGTTAGTCCCCCTTATGCAGCGGTACCTTATGCTCTACCCCCTGGCTTTGTCCCGGGATCATTAATCTCTCCCTCAGGCAATATTCCCCAGCCCCACACTGTATCCCACCTTGTTCCCTATCCATCTGTCATACAGGAAGGTGTTGTTTCTCCACCACCCCAGGGCCAGGTAGCTGCTCATACCTTTGCCAAAGTTGCAGCATCCAGTGGTGTCTCACTGATGCTGCCTTCAGAGCAAGCTGCTCAGCAGCACCTTAGTACTGTAGGAGTCCTGCCTGCAACAGAGCTCAGCTCTCGAGGCATGTCAGTTTTCTACCACTCTCAGAGCACCAAGACTGCCACTGCCACCAGAGACGCCCACGGTGCTGAGCAGGAGAATGAACCAGAGATAAATGGAGGAGATAAAGAACAAGGAACAAGGGAGGTTGTACCAGACTCAGCCTACACTGCCAGAAATGCACATCTGCCACAGGTAGCGCCCAGCTCTGTAGTACAGGAGCGTAGCCAAGACAGAGGCCTGCAAAACCGAAGGCTGGAAGAGAGGACCTCACCTGGGCAGCGCAGCACTCCAGACAGTGACCTGGAGGTAAGACCCATCGATAATGTGACTTGTGTTTTTCTGGTAATTGGGTATTCCTGACTTCTAGCAGTAAGGGATTTACATAATCTAATAACCTGCATTTCTAGTATTGCATAAATATTCATATGTAATGTATGATATGTACATACATTTATAACTGCTGTCTCTCTTCTCCTCTCATTCTTTTCATTCCATATATTTCCTATTTGAATGCATACCACTATTTATTTTCATTTTTATTGCTTTTTTAAAAGTCTTGTAGTTATTTTCTATTTCCTGTTGCCTTAAAACACATTGAGAACCTCTGTACCAGAGTCAAATTCCTGTCTATTCAAACATACTTGGCAAATAAAGATGATTCTAATTCTGTTTTTGATTCATAGTTGAGCACTTTTGGTGTGCATGTAGATGTAGTCATAGTGGTTTACCTTCACCTGTTTTTATAGATTTTTTTTACTAGCCTACAATATTATTAATTTTACTACATGTCTAGAGTATGACCATATCTTAATTGTAAACATTCTCACCTCAGCATTACAAAGACCTAATAGTTTAAATCTGTCCTGTTTTAGGAAAATGTATTCACAAATAAAAAAAACTGTATTCAGAAACAAATAATTTTGCACATCCTGTTGCAACATACGTTGAGAAGAAGATTGCAGGTAACACATGTCATGTCTCCAATACAAATAGTGTGTTTGAGTTTTTTAATTGTTATATGTGTGTTTCAGCAGAAATAAAAGTTGTCTAACACTAAATTCCTATAATCACCTCCAGGTGCAACAGGTGGTTGGTCATCTGGCTTGCTCTGGCCACGGTGGTGGTGGAGTGAGGAAGGAAGTCTCATTTGCTCCCCTGAACCTCTCTCAGGGTGTCCAGAGAGCTAGAGAGGTCCATAGAGAGACCACAAGCCTAATTTCCGGCCGGACTGGATACATGGCCCAGCCTGCGTGTTACAGTGACCCCAGAGTGACCTATCTCCAGCAGCAAACAGGGCAGCCTGGCCACACTGTCATGCTTGCCAATGGGCAACCGGTTCTTATTCCCCTGGAGTATCACCCTCAGCATCACCCCCAGCCCCAGCCCCCACAGCAGCTTTACCCAGGACAGGCTAATGATGCCTCAGCCACCATGGCCTCCCCTAACCCAAGCTTTAAAGCCTCTGATTCTTCAGCCACAGTGTGCCTCCCTGAAAGCGCGGAACCGGCTACAGCTCAGCAGCAGCTTTCCCAGCAGCCTCCTGTCCAGCCTACAGCAGATGTGACTCAGGCCTTGGCATCAACCCTTGCTCCTGCCCCAGGTCCCTGCAACCCATCACACTTCATGAAGGGTGCCATTATTCAGCTAGCTACTGGGGAACTGAAGCGTGTGGAGGACCTGCAGACTCAGGACTTTGTACGGAGTGCTGAGGTGAGTGGGGGGCTTAAGATTGACTCCAGCATGGTGGTGGACATCCGTGCCAGCCAGCAGAGACCAGGTCTTATGTCGCTTCACTTCACTGTGGGGGAACAGCAGAGTAAAGTGACCATTGATGTGCCCCCAGAGCACCCTTTTTTCGTGTTTGGCCAGGGCTGGTCGTCCTGTAGCCCGGAGCGAACAGCCCAGCTTTACGGCTTTTCCTGCCATAATTTGCAAGTAGGAGATGTGTGTGTGTCTATAACCCTGCAGCAACAGCTTCAGCCACAGCAGCAGAAACAACCACAGCATCATCATTCACAGCAGCAACAACAACAGCAGATCCTGTCCAGGACTTTGAGCAAAACCAACATTACATCAGCTCCTGGCCATCAGCTCATGGGGCCTCCGGCCCCTCAGCAGTCACGGCCTCAGTCTCATGTCAGGATAGATCGCATCCACAGAGAAAGACAGAGGGATGGAGAGAAAGATGTGGTCGATAAGGAGGAAGCCACACATTTTGGGGTCGTTGGGCACACTGAGTCATCCATCAGACCAAGCAAGAGTGCGGTAGAGCATCTGAGGAGCCAGAGCAGTTACCACCTACAAACAGAGGGTTCTGCTTTTATAGGGGCAGGCATGGGAGCAATGCAGTCTGCCTTAGGTGCTTCTCAGAGGCGCTGGTCCTTACCTGGCCTCCAAAGATACAGTATGAAGGGAGATGAAGTGCCACGCCCTCAGATAAGCACCTCCCGCCACTCAAGGCCCTCTTTCATCCCCCAGGAGGTAAAACTGTCCATTGAGGGGCGCTCAAATGCAGGGAAGTAGCATCACAATTGGTAGCAACTAGAGAAGAGACTGCCACAACTAAAAATTTGTCTGACAAGGAGAGAGAAAGAGGTAAAAAAAGAGTGTGAATGTAGCCTCAGAGTGTGAGAGATTTTGCACACCTAAAGTATACAAAAATACAAGATCTTTGTCTGTTTGGTGAGAAGTTCTGGGTGTCACTCAGCCAAAGGACACAGGTCTGTGGTTACCCTGACAGCTGAGGTCTAACAGGGACATGAAAAGCTGAGTAGAAAGTATGTAGCTGATGAAATGCCTACCACATCCTTACACACTGCATTTCTTTTCCTCTCTCCCTCCTTTGTGGTCACTTCCTCATGCCCACACTTGGAGGTTACCATTGAATTCAGAACATTCTTGCTTCCTTTTTGACCAAACTGGCTCATTGGAAGATCACTGACTACCAGAGATGTGTTTGTAGCACAGCAAACCTACAAGCTCTTTTGGGTTCTGGTGTATGTAGAAGACAGCCAGTCATCTTTTATCTCCTTTGTTCCTAAGATTGTGTTTCCTTCAAAAGCAGTTACCCAAAAAAGAATGGCGTTGTTGACATCAGCAGCTCCTGTGGTGATGTTAGCACTGTTGATGCTGTCAGTGTATGTTACATTATGCTTCTCTGGCAGTAGTCCAAAACGTCTGCTGTTGGCAGAGATACTCTCCCCTCCTTCCTTTTCAGGAGGCCGGTCAACAAAGAATGGGATCTTCTCTCAGGCAAGGTGTGGCATGTCCCACTTGTCTTACAATCAAAACAGTGGTAAAGCAATCAGTCCGTCTGTTCAACAATCAGTTTCCACTTCCAAAAAAATGTTTTATTTCATTTTACACAGTCATCCCATTACTTTAGGCTGAATGCCCTAACATGTCTGTGTGTGTTTGCATATACCCCTTTTCCACCGCCTGTTACCAGTTCAGCTTGACCTGATTCTTTTCCACTGTAGATAGGCCGCCCCGCAGTGTAGCTGGTTGTCACAGTGACACTACATGAAACTGCCGTGAAGTCACTGGCCCATTGTGGCAGGGCAGGCTCAAACTGTTGTAATTTTCATCATAGGACTGTTTGTTTTGTTTTTTTTTGTTGCCATTTTATTAAATTTTGATAGTTTTTCAGCCAAGAAAATGACCATCTAGTTTCAGATATGTGGCCAGTCTTTTCAGGTAATGCCAATGATGCACTAACATACCAGCTAGGCTAGCTCTGCTTAGCAGGCATAGCTGTAGCCACTGTGCTCGTATTATCACATTCAGTAACTTGCGGGCTACGTGATAAGTTGTACGATTTGGTAAATGGTCTTATATTTGTATAGCGCCTTTCTATGCTTTACAGCACACTCAAGGCGCTTTCACACCATTTGGCCATTCACCCATTCACTCCCAAACACACACACATTCACACACCGGTGACATCATCTTGCTCAAGGACACTTCGACATGTTGACGGGAATCGAACCGCTAATCCTCCGGTTAGGAAATGACCCGCTCTACCTCCTGAGCCACAGCTGCCCCCTGGTGGTTCATGCAATACAATGGTTATATATTAACAGGAGCTTGAGGCCTCTGTCACCATAAATTTTACTCCCTGTAACACTCATAGAAGTGGTACTTAATTTTATGAATGAATGAGTAAAGAGTAACTGGTGTCACCACATGTACACATCCAGGTTAATCAGTGGCCATGTAGTAGTGACGAATTTCTTTGACCAATCGCTAGTCTGCTGTGTTGACACGTCACCGTTTGACATTGCCTCAGCTGGCTTGGAACCTCAACAGGTGATACCAAAAATAGTACCAGGTACTATCCCCAGTGTTTGACCGATGGGAAAACAAATAAGGCGAGTACAGTTGAGTTGGTACCAGGCAGTGGGAAAAGGGCATAAGTGCTGCATATTGAACTAATGCTCTGTTCTCTATGATAACTAGAGATATCTTGCATTCATCAGTGAGAATATCATTTAGTTTTTTCCCTTGAATATCCTTTCCCATCCTGAGCGGCACTCTCTCTTCTTTTTGTTACACCTCCAACCATTCCCAACCAGGCCGGTGACCTTTGATGAATTTTCATCACCAAAGCCACCTGTGGGGAGTGAACCAGAGAGAGACGTTGCCATGTCACATCACTGGCTGCATGCCACTCGAGCCTAACCCCCAGCAGAGTGGAAAAAACGTGTAGTTTGCCGTGGAGAGAGAAAATCTGTGTGTCTTTAACTTGAGTTACTTTGCTTAGTTACCAAATTAAAGCAATAGGTTTTTTTAACAGTACACAGCTCTTGTTCATTTCCATTGATTTTTCAGTAGTTATACACAAAGCATGTCTTTGACAAGAAATCTTGATAGATAAAACTGCTTCTCTTTGATTCTCTATCTCACTGCTGAGATCTTATTTTAAATGGGTTTACTCAAGTGCATCTCAAGAAAGACCTGACTCTAACAGTGATCTTTATCAAGTTAGCTTCTGTTCTGTTTTAATGCACACAGTCCCTTCACTTTTGTACTAGGATACACTTTATCCAGTGAATCTTACGATCGTCTTGCATTGTACATCACTCACTGATTTCACACTGACCTTGTTAATAGGAATCACAGTACAGTAGTTGCTTTTTTTAAATGAAGGGAATATGTTTGAAGTATTGTTGCTGGCATTTTGTGATGAGAAAGAAAAAACTGACTTGCATTTTTAACTCTGTTTACAAATTAGCCAAGTTGAATGCTGCAGTTTCCTCTTCCTTCCTTTGTCACTGAAAACATCCAAAAGAGTAAAATTTAAAGTAAGTGCAATTAGACCACATGAAATCATTCAGAGGTTATCAGATGACATTCCTCACGCAGACATTCAGAAAGTGTAAATCATACAGTTGTCATTAAATCGTTTCATGCAATTTCTGCTATTTCCTATTTATCAGATGTGCTCAGACAGGAGGATCAGTTAGTTTCATGTCAGGCAATTTTGATTCTGACATAGGTGTTGCTGCTACACTTGCATAACATTTGAATTAACCTGTCCATCAGCACCTCTTTAAGTCAGCCCTTAAACCCTCGTCATTCACCGAGTATACAGCCTGATCCTCTGTCCGCAGTTAGAGGGGCCATGAAATGGGCCAAGTAGACTCTCATCCTCTGGCACCATCATTATCGGTAGCATTAGAGGAAGGGTTCACATTTTTTTCAAGCCTGTCTTAAAACATACCTATTGGTCCCTGTAACTATTCCTACTGTCCTTACTGGCCATGATTCACTTTAAGCTGTTATGAGGCTTCTGCAGTCAGTCAGTCCAAATTGATTTCGTCCACAGTTACTGTAGTACACAAATCACTCTTTTTGTTCCTGTTCCTCCAGTGCAGCTCAGTAAGCCAACACTTTGGCCTTTTCCCCTCATAGGAACCTACCAACCTTAACTGAACATGTACCCCTTGTTGTGGGTTCTGCTTTTGTTTCCACTACCCTCAGCCCACTTTGGGGAAGAGTTCCCAGAGGTACGTTTTGGCACCTGTCAGGAGGTAGTGCTAAATCATATTCCAGGAACAGAGGGGGAAGGGGGTAGATTAAACACCAGTGTCCTCATGTCTGAAGTACTAGGTACAAGTACGGTGTGTGAACGTGCATGATTAACGAGCATTGTGCACGCTGTTGAGCTGTGTGTCTGTGTGTGGAGTCCAGCCTTGGCCTCACGTAAACAGTAACCAACACAGAAAAATGTAGTGGAAAAGCAAAGCGGAACTGTTGGATTAACAGTATGGGAAGCTCCAGGTTACGGCTTGTTAGGTTCTCATGATGGAAAACCACTAACTGTTGAGGGAGAAGAGAACATTTCACTAAAATAGCCCCCTGTGGAAGGTACCCGTGCGAGTCTAACCCACTGCTGCTGAAGTTTCATGTTAGCTTCATTTGTGCACAGAACGAGGACTGTGGATTTTGTCCTCCATCCTATCATTTAAGCTAGAATGATGTCTGGAAGAGATCTCTTCTTTCTAGTATGGACAAGAGAATAACCTATTATTGTATTAAGACAGACTTGAAAAATTATTCTTTAACATGCTTTGCAATGGGAGATAATCTATCATAATATAATAACCATTCAGACAATTTTTCAGCAGTTAAGAACACATCATCAGAAGCTCCACACACACCAAGGTTTTTTCATGATGTAAGCAATACCTGAAAACATTTCATTTAGTCTTGGGATTTTCTATGCAGTAAACTCAGTGTTGTACTCTTCTTAAGTACAGCTCTCTGAATCTGTCGGGCAGTTTGGCTGATGCAGTCATTTTACACTGATGTCTGGTTTAAATAACTTAAAAAATAGGAATACAGATCTGTATTTTGCTTTGTTACTTTCTGTTTTTTGCTTGGTGGTCCCCATCTTCCTAGGAACAGCACACCAACAGATGATTTTATCGTCATCTTGTGATGCAACAAAGCCAAATCTCAAGACAAGTGTCACCCAAATTTTCATGTTTGTCCAGCGTTATTTTGGCATGTTTGCCAAGCCATTTCAACTTTTTAGGTCAAGATGCATTTGGTGGGATTTAAATGGTGCAAGCAGTGCCACATGTGACTTTACCTCCTGTTCATTTTCACAGCAAGACCATCCTGTGCAGCCGTGAGCTTGTTATGTTTTCGCCCTCTGCTTTTTGAGCAGTGTACCACAGGAAAGCTCGACTCCTTATTCACATCACTAATAGTCTGTTGCTGTAAGTAATTGCACTAAATGCCCTCCTTTACAGTGTTTTGTGATGAAAACCGTTAGTAAGTTGAGGAGTTTCAAGATGTAAAGCACACAAAAATCACGGAGAAATCACAGGCTGTGTGTTTCTGTAGATAGATGTATTTTTTTGTATAGCTAGTTTTGATGCTTGTCGATAATGCCTTAAATTGTGCTTTGTACAATGTGTGAAACTGAGGTAATGGAAACATGCTTCTGGTAAACTTGGTGTTCCCTATTCAGGCTGCACAAGAGCAGATCAGAACTATGATGACTGTTGTGCTTTGGAGCAGAAATTCAAAGAGTGACAGTGAACTCTCTCTGGGTCTCAGATGGTTCAGTCATGTGACTCTGCAACTTTTTGTTTTTAGCTTTTTGTCTTCATTTTCTATTGTTAGATTTTTGTATTCATTCTAAATACTTAACAATTTACTCCTGTTTTTAAATGCATGGAAGTGAAGTAAATGGAGGTTCTTCTCTGCACTTTTTACAAGATGATGCCAAGAGTGTTAACAGCAGAAGGAAATCCATTAATTCCACACACACAGACAGAAAAACATGCACTCTGTTTTTATTTTTGTTGCACAAGATCCTTAGTTGTGTTTTTTTTTTTTTACCCCTAAAATTACTGGATTGTGTTTGGTGTCTTGTGCTGTGTCCTTTAGTCTTGGGACTGCAGAAGGTGGGTCTCATTAAAAGTGCATAAATCCGATATCTCTCCATCGGTGGTAATATGATGGTTGATTGCGTTTTGTGACGTGGCAGTGGGGATTTTCACTCCGTGTGTGAACTGCTTCCTATTGTTTGATCCAGTATTGAACTGCAAAGGCGAATCTAGAACAGTTTTGGTGTTGCTGATGTCGAATTAAATCAGGAGATTGAGAGCGGTTGAAAGTTTTACTGAAGTCTGTGTATTTTCAGATTTAACATTATACTTTTTTGGCACAAGGTAACTGCTTTTTATGTGACGTGCAACTGTCTAAAAATGAAACAAAAAACAGCATTTTTTTTTTAATGCCTAAATCTGCAAAATATATGCAATGATGTACACGTAACATTCAATCCTCAAGTATAATCCAGGTTGTATGAACTTTGTATAGTGAGTTTTAATATCATATGGCTGTACCAATATGTATTAATCTTTATCAGAAGCCTTAGAGTTGTTGACCCAAAGTGCTCCCTTAGAAAACCCTTCGCCTACCTGACTTTAACAAAGCATTAATATCTTTATTTTGTTGCAATTTTATTTGTACCCCTTTTGAATAAAATAGATTTGTACTGTATATTTGTACCTCTGTGAACTACTAGGGCAGTTGTTGGTTTTCTTTTTTTTTTTCTGTTTTAATTCTATGTACTTCAAGGACACAAAGATATTGTATTTTTATTGTTACAGCTAACTTGGAGAGACTTGCATTTATCATGTTTAAGTAAACAATATAATATATAAATATATATATACAAATATAAATATAAACTATTATCCAACTTGTGTTGTTTCTTTAGTCATATTTATGTATTTACTTAGTCGTGAGAAGTGGAAGTAGCAATACCTCTGTCAAAGAAAACCATGTTCATAGTTAGCATTATTAGCAATATGTGCTTAAATATACATAAGGTGGACCCTGATGGTAAATTATGATTGATTTATGAACAGTGAAACATTAAAATAAATCACTCATTTTAATGTTGCACCTGATTAAGGTGGAGCTAATTTAATTACTGCCAGGTAGTTTAACCTGTAATACTGCATATGTTCCTAAGCTATGATAGGAGTGGATTCATATGGAGGCCAATAATAGTTGTAATAATTTTAAGTATGTAATAATAAAAAACAACCGCTACAGAATACTTGGTGTTGAAATTCAGAAGCTGCTGAGTATAAATGTCACAAATTCAAATGAAACTATTCAGAACTAGGTTACTAAAAATCAAGCAGCTTAAATTGTACCGGTTAAATTCAGACACCAAAAAAATTCAAAATTAAAGGTCAGCTTTCTTATTTTAGATCAGAAACAACACTGAACACAACCGTTATAGTAAAGTCGATGTTTACTTCCACATTCTTTATTAAGTTTCATGTTGGTCTGTACATCTGTTTATCCAGTAACAGGATGGTGTCCTCCAAGGGCCATCCAGTCAGACACCACAGCCAGCAGAAATGTTCTCATGAGCAGTGCAGCTCGTTCATTTGGCCTTGTTCGGAGATGTATTTTGTAAACATGGACATTTAGAGAAAATCCTGATAGAGTTCATACAGAAAGGCCAATGTTTAAACTTTTTTTTTTGATTAAACTGTAAAAAACAGGCAGGCATGAACTAACAGTAGAACACAAGCTCATATTGAACCATTCTAGGACAAGTGCAGTTTCACAACATGCAGTGCTTACCTAATCCACACTTAAAGTACTCCTCATAAAGACCCATGTCACCACAGAGTTTATAGTACTTCTGTTGCAATAGTGTGTCAGACCACAGCTGCTGATCTGTCCCATTATTCCACTGTAGGGCCAAGGGGACCGCAGCAAATTTAAAGAGCAACGTCTGAGAATACCCAGTATTCATAGTCTGAGAGAAGAGAGATATAAATGACACCTGAAGCCAGTGTCGAGAGCACTGATCTGCCCTTGTATGTCATGAATCAGATGGCAGTGAAACCCTGGTGCTTTCACGTGCTGAGCTAGGAAGAGAAAACTGATCTCAGGAGACAAACTGTCTCTAGAAAAGTCAAACAAGACTGTTCCTGTCGCACATATGATCAATCTAGTAGTGACTTTATGGACCAGGGTGTCGTATCTAGGCTCTGAGCCCTCTTACCCAGTTAAATTGCCTGAGAAGCTAAACTCTTACACTGAAGTCCATTTAAATTAAAGTCTCATTCTGCATAGTTTCAATGAAAAGTGAATTAAATTTCCTTGGAATAAATGACACATCTGTTGCATAGAGGCTTGATACAGGCTCCTAGAAAAGCCTCTGAAGACGAAAGAAAAGTAGTTTTTTCTTATTCTTTGTTACATTTTCTACAGCAAACAGCCAGGTAGATAAACTCTTGTCTAGGAGTGACTCAAACAGAACCAGTACTCATCCTTGTCTCTGATATGACGAATATGCTCATTTGACACTGTGTTTGTTTGTTTGTTTGCATATGAGGAAGCGAAGTAAAAAAAAAAAAAAAATGGAGGTAACCTTACAGGCAGGAAATTAAGGAATATCCATTCATGGTCACCAATTTAAACATTAAAATATTTTCATAACACTTGTGGTCCAAATAAGCCAAACAGTTTCACAAGAAAAGTATATTCACATCATATTGCATAAATATGTGCTGCAATGAGGTTCATGAATGTCAGTTAATAGAATCTCTCTCCCCGTACGTGTCATGAACTTAGCCCCAGTGCTCAGTAACAGAGGAGGGAAGAAGAAACAGAGACGTGTTTAGAATCATTTCCACCCGTGGTATGATTCAATAAATACAGTAGGTTTCTTCTGACAGAGGAAATAAAATAATTTAAGTGGTACTGTTGACATATTTTTGAAAGTACTACAGCCTTACAAAGCATGTGAACGCTACACAAATTGCATGAAGCAGAGCTTGCATTATTTATGTATCATCCTCTATATAAATCTAACCAGCTTTCATGTCTTTTTCCTATAACCAGGAAAACAAATACATCTTTGCAGGCAGAATTTAGTGTCACAAATTCTGTCAGGTAACATATGAGCTACTATTTCATTGTAGCTTTAAGAACAAGTTATCACAATATTCCTTAATGTGACGAGCCCAAAATATAAAAGAGGTAACTAATGTATTGTACAGTACGATAACAGCAGCGCAGACTGAGTTTTCATGAGCCAAAGACAAGTTCTGTAACAGAAACTAAAAAAAACTTGCATTGGCAAAATACTCAAGAGTGTGAAACAGAACAAAATGTTGGCAAAGAGAATGTAAAGAGGTGAATGCATTAAGTACAACTCAGTGGATAAGGAGGAATGTTGCTCAGCACTGGCCATGTTCAATAGGACAAAACATTCAGGGTTGATCCGTTAAGAAACATTATAAATTATAAATATTATAATCCTGGGAAATGCACATGGAGCTGGCGTGCTTGTTTATCACTTGCTCCTGTGAATGCCTGTGTCCTATTAAAGTGCCGGAGTGATCAATGAAAACAGCTTGTAGAAAACAACCTGCATCCTCTGGAGTAGAGTACAGTACATGTAGAGCTTTGGAAGCTTGGAGTTGGAACGTTGTAAGCCACAGGACAGAGAGCGCAACCACGGCGCCAGCTGAGGTAGTAGTTTGACTGTAGATGAACTTCCCAGGAACCCATGGCAGCAGCTTGAAGTGAGAGGTGTAGCTGCTGGTAAACCCCGAGTCACTGGGCTGGATAGTGGACCAGAAAGGAGGATGCTGTGGCTACAAAGTCCCCGCTCCCATCACTGAAGGTCAATGTGCAAAAGATTTTTTTTTTCCATCAAAGGAAGTAGAACTGCTCCTGGTAGAATGAACTGTGATACATCTGCTAGTCCACTGACAAACAGATAAATCTCTTTACAACATGCTTTAAGGTCGTCATCCATACAATATGAAACATTCTCAACCCTGTTCCCAAGGTTTTCTACACTGTAATAAATTAGGAATAGTTTTTGCTGTATTGAACAAAGCAGTTTTGTGTGTGAAGCCGTTCAACACAGGAAGCTTGGAGGGAACCAGCTGGGATGGGTGCGCTGTGACCCTGGCAGAGGTTAACAATACTGCTAGAAGCCAGTTTGCCCCCACCCCACCCAGCGCCCAGTCGAATTAGGGCAGCTTCATGAACAGACCATTATCAATTGAAGGGACAGGCATAGTGCAGGGGAACTGAAAGAGACTCATGTCTGCTGTGAGGGCGGCCATCGCAGCAGGATCATGCTCGATCTGTGTCCTTAGAGCGGGGTCAATCTTCTCCAGTCGTCGCTTGATCCTCTTGGCCTCCCTCTCGCGGATCAGCCTGGCCTGCCTCTTCTCTGGTGTCTCATTGGCCCTCTTTAAACGCATGGCATCCCTGTCTCTCTGCAGCCTGCGTGCCCTCTGCTCCTCCGTTTCCTGCATCCTCTGCATGCGCTTGGCCTCGCGGTCCCGTAGCCTCCTCAGTTCCCTCTCCTCTTCTGTCTCACACGCCCGTTTGTTCTTCTTAGCCGTGCGCTCACGTTCTAGGCGCTGCAAGCGAGCTTCCAAGGGTTCGTTCTTCCTACGCATAGCCCATTTTCTCATCGGGGACTGGGTCTCCACCAACTGCTGATAGGCCATACAGCTGTTGCACACCAGCAGCACCCCAGCAGGATACACCGGCATAGGGCTCAGGATGTCAGGGATAGGAGGGAGTCCCGAGGAAGAGGAGTTAAGAGCATTAGGGATAGACGAGAGTGTCGGCCCTTCAGAGAGGAGACTGTCGGGCAGTGAGGGAAAGGAGGGTCCTTGGTCAGGGCCTGTGCCTGGTCCTGAGCACTGCCCAGATCCCAGGCCTGGGCTATGACATGGTCTGGGACCTTGACATTGGCTCGACATGTGGCCTGGTCCCTGGCAGGTACGATGCACTTCACATAGGCTGGAGCTGGGGTCAGGTGCCTGACACGAGTGAGGACCCTGACATGAACTGAGGCTGGGGCCTGGCCCATGGCAGGAGCGAGTGCCGGAGCCTGGGCTGGGCATGGGGCTGTTGGAGAGGGACTGGGGCATGGAGCAGGTGTCCCTTCCACCAGTGACATCCATCCTGGTTGTGTCAAGGACATCTTTAAGCTTCTCCCTAAGATTGGATACAGCAATAATGCACTTGGCTAAAGTGAAACATCCTTTTTGTGAAGCATTAAATTGCTACTTTCTAAATGTGACCTCCTGATCCCCTCATCTTTCTGTGTAATTTCATGAAGGTGTTTTCACAGTTCCACTGGTCAAACTGTGGCCGAGTGAGGCACAATTTAAAATTTTAACATGAATTTTATTACTTAAATACTTATACATTTTCAATTTAAAAGTTAGTTTTCTTTGTTTAGATTCATATTTAACTCTTAGTACATGCATCTGGGCACAAAGGATGTCACCTTCTACATAACTTTATAAGCCATAAGCCACAAGCCACTGTGTATTTTCTACCCTTCTCCACAGCTAAGCATTAAATTGTACTGTCAACACGTAATGAAGAAGTTGTCTAATTGTGTCCTAGCTATACTTCTTGTAAGCCACTAGCCACAAGCTTGTAACTACACCCAGGTCTGTATAGTCACATATTTTTAAACAGTAGTAAGTTTTGGCTTCATCTACCAAGCAGCTATAACTGACATGATTTAAAACCACTGGGTCTGAATGGAAAGAGATGACTCATTTTATTGCATTAATTTGCCCATTTGCGTGTTTCAGAGATGTGCAACACTGTGTGCCACATCACTTGTGGTTAACATGAGAGGGGTTTAGCAGACTGTTAATAGCCTGAGGTGACATACAACACCGTAGCACAAAAAAACTTCCTCACCAATAATACTTCTGTAACTTTATAAATACATATGTTATATATCTGCTAGTAACACTGGTTCTGTCAGCTAAGATGGCTCACAAATTCTATTTTCTTGCTTTTTCCCACTCCTGTCAAAAATACACTAAAGCCTCGCCGTGTTTCTTCTTCTACTATGTGTCCTGACCTTGGCAGCGCAGTTTAAATTTGAATGTAATGGTAGTTGCTAAGCAACATGCAAGTTTATTTCCATTAAATCTGTCATTCCAGTACTAATTTTATTCATCCCTCATGTTCTGCAACCTGGCTGATCTCACACAGAACCACTGCTGCACGGTGTGCAAGTGTGCTGTACTGTATACTGTATTTTCACTTTTTAAAAGACTGTACCATGAACATCTTCTGACAGATTTGATGGCCTTGTTGGGCGTACATAAAGAAAATCTCCATTCAACCAAAAAAATGTCTTTTGAAGGATTGTGCAATTCAAGACTCATTTTTAATTCATTCACTACTATTGCCAAAATAATTTTTTGATGTTGTGAGGAATTAAACATAATTAAACGGCTGAACTTTTTGAAACTCAAGTCAACTGCTTATTTATTGCAAAAATGTTACTCATTTGAAATAAAACACAACAGCTACTGCATGTAATACATCTGCATACTTCTTCATTTATAAAACTGAAAGCAATATGTCCTGATGACCTGAGACAAGAGAAACAGTAGGGATGAGCCGAACCTGTTAAAGTTGTTGGTGTCTGTGAAGCGTGCGCCACAGACAGCGCAGTTGGAGAGGCGGTCCTCGGAGTGGATGAGGAGATGTCGTCCAAGTGAGCCAGGCGAGCTCAGCGCTCGCCCACACACTGGGCACACATAGCTCTTGGAGTTGCTCATCATAGTCGTGTGCTGTTAAAGACAGCAAAACAAAATAAGAACAAGAAAACTGGGAAAAAGAAGAAATGTTTCAGGAACACCACCAACATTAAAAGATGATAACCGTCTATTTTTGCTGTAGCTGGTTCTCAAAATGTATTATGGCTGCATCAGTAACAAGGCATCGCAGAACCAATGGAACACTACTGTTTGTGCACTGTAGCAGTCATGAAAAACAACATGTCTGAAATGTTAATGCACTTTATACAACCTGTTTTAAACTATAGATGATCAATGATTTAAAAATATTAAAAATGATTATTGGTATCAAAATGTATCAAATATAACAATTGCTAAAAATAATCATCTTAACTGCGTGCACCTTGTCAGCAACTAAATGCAAAGAGAGACATCGCAGTCACTGATGAAGACATGCAGTATAAGGACAGTGGAATCTGTGGGTTACTGTAAAATGAATGATAAAGAGCCTGCAGCATTAGAAACCATTTACCATTAGCAAAGATAAATAATGTTGTGGCAACTTGAACTGTAACCAACTTAATATTGTAATAACTTGGAAACCAACGTTATCCGTTTATGCTATAATTTTAATTAGCTGTGTTCTGCTGTAGTTAACCCTAACACTGTAAAATGTACATCAAGTAAGCAAGTCAACGCCTCCCTCAGTGAGGCACTGACACTGAAAGATACTTAGGGGGCCTTGGAGGTGATAACCTGGTGCTAGCTAATTAGAAACGGACTGCAATAAGGGGTCCCACGGGACTACACTAGATTGGAACAGGCAATGTCGTTCTCACCTGGTACACATGGGAAATGAGCTTCTCAGGGCTGCTGAACTCCAGCGTGCAGAGAGGACAAACAAAGCTGTTGCTGTGGTCGGCCCCTTCCTCGCTCTCCTGAGGAAGGCCAAACACCATTTAAACATATTTCTGGAGCAAAATCAGCACTCTACTCAAGTACAAGCACACCTCCATCACAACATCTCTGCAATTCTCAGCAATGTGCCTTGAAATCGTGTCCGTTGTAATATCATTTTACAACAATTTCTAAAAGTAAACATTTTTAGTTCAGTTCACTGTTTGCTTTCTGACAAGTGTGATTTGGTACCAAACTGGGTCACTACTCATATCACATGTTCCCAGCTGAAGCGTTTCTGCAAATGCTGTATGATGATGTGTTAAGCGTATGAATGAGCACGATCCTCACAAGCACTAGTGACTCACTGACAGCGACATGATGCTGTGTGCTGTCACAGATGTGACTCACACAAGCTGACATAAAAAACATTTTCACACAGAAGGCCGGAGGACAAAACATATGGGACACTACAGGGGGAGTGGTGTTCTGTTCAAGTCTGTTACAAGTCCATTCAAAGGCTTGTCTCTGTGTAACAGATATCAGCACTTCCTGTTCCTGTTAATCTCTGTAGTAGTTCAGTCAAATTAGATTCTATTTTAGACAAGTGGCATGAATGTAAATAAAAAAAACACCAAGACAAAAGTGGCCATTATTACTTTATAGTATTATTATTGTTTGGTTTGATGTGGGTACCGGCACGCTCACCTCTTTGACTCCCACTCCTTGTAGGCGGCACTGAGACGTCTTGGTGGTCATGTGGTCATCGGCAGAGGTGTTGGAGGATGAGTCTTCACCGTGGTTGTCAGGGTCACTATCGCTGTCTTCTATGGAGGCAAACACAGCCCTGTCAATACAGACAGACAACAGAACACAGAGCAGGGCTTACTCTCATTAACAGCCCTCAGTCCGAGGACGTTCCTACAGAGTCCACTTCTTCCCTGTCCCGTCCATCCATCCTGTACCTGAGATGCTATCCTGCCCTTGGACTTCCTGGGAGTTGTTGCTGCAACATTCACTGTCTTCGGTGTATTCGTCCCTGCCATCCATGTTAATAGTGTGCTGAAGTCCTGTGATGCCTGAAGTGTGAAATGGCCCTGAGGACAGAAAGACAGTAGCGGTCGTAAGATAAGTGTTTCTCGTGAACACACTGGACTGCAGTCATGAGACCTCAGTCATTCTGGTAACAATGGTGCCCTTTCACCTTTTGCTAGCATATATATTTACTTTTAATCTACGTGAAAGTTCAACACAAGAAGTGAGCAATACAACAACATCATCACATTCTGTAGTATCATTTATTTTGTGTATGTGCCCTTTGATAATTTTGGGTGAAGGAGACCATTCTTGTTGAGTCAAACTCCTAATTTTGTTATTTTATCCATTATGGTCCTATAGACTAATACCAAAATCACACTCTGTGACAGAGAACCTTATCTATATACTACACCCTACTATATATTTTATCTGAAGATAAAGTACAGCTTGCAAACACTTAAAAAGACCAGGTATTTACCCTTCCATTGTGCTTTAGCCCCATAGCAACACAGAAACGGCATCTACTATCATAACATGCCACAAAAAGGTATGAATTTTTGACTCGAGTGCATTCATCTATAGAGGAGGGTTGAATAGGCTGCTTTCAAATGAAACTGAAACATAATGAATATTAAGTCAGGAAAGCAAATCCGCTGACATACGTGCATGCACGTTAACTTCCTCCCAACCCCCCATTTATCACACACATATACACAGCCGCAGATATATGCTAGCTCTGTCTGACAGCCAAGCTTCAGTCCCATGGGGGAAGCATCCTGCACTCCTTTCCTCTAGCTAACTGCCTTGCTCCTCAGTGTGTTTCTCTCTCTTCAGTACCACCCACACACTGAACAGCCTGGCTCGCCCTCTGTCCTCCCTGCTTGTATGTAGCTCTGACTACTTCCATCTATACCATCGGCTCTGAGAGGGAGGATAAGGCTTCATACCATGACAGCCCATATGTGGCTCATTTAGCTCCTTCTGGTGCCACTGTTTATTTTACAGTAGCCCCGCTAGTTGCAGGATTTGGTTTAAAAAATACCTTCACTTTCCTTGTTATTACACTTGACCCTTGCACGCTTGGATTTAACTGCTTCACTGGAGATAGTTTTGTTAAAAGCTCCTCTGGCGTTCACACACAAGAACATCCCCATTTTACATAGCTAAAAGTAATGGTAGCTTAGCAGTGTTCTTCCCGTGTGTTCTCTCTCCATTCACACAGATCAGAGATGGGATGTTACCTTAAGTTACCTGAGAGTGACAGAAGTAATTACAGCCCGTGTCACAATCCTGAGGTACTGCGTGCACACACACACACATACACACACACACACACACACACACACTCCCTCTCTGTGTCCGTTTGTCATCCTACCATTTTGCTACTTGCAAGAAGTTGGTATGTGAATGCAGTTTGGGCACTTTTCCTATAGAAATCCAAGCATTCATTAGCACTGGTAGAGTGGGTCGGAGTGTTGAACTATGAACTACTACAACAAGCAGGCTTCATGGCACATAGCCCATGATTGATGTGTGTGAGAGACACCCATCCCCCCACCGCTAGGGCTCTGTCTGTACATCTGTCTCTCCTCACTCCCTACCTCCCTCCATCCCTCCTCCCTCAGTCTCTGCCACTGTGATGTTATCTCTGAGTCTGTGTGTCTGTAGGCAGGAGGTGACGCAGTGTCTGACTGAATCCAGACAAAGAGACAAACTCATCAGGCTACAGACACACAGAAGCAGGAGGAGGAGGAGGAAGAGGGGTGGTGGTGGTGATAGAGGGGTAGAACGCACAACAAAACAGACAAAAGACAGAATGCCAAAACTCTACT